GACCAGTTCTCGAACTGTCATACAACTCGCTTACTGATTGCCCGTTTGCCTTCGGCCTTGTTCTAGAGTCAGGCGCGGTTGTCGCCGTGCTGTGAGAACAGGGCCGTTCATTCTAAATATGTCGTGTGCAACAGATTGCACGTCCCTGAACGGTGGTATTTGCCGCGTTCCCACGGTGCGATATTTCTGCACTACATTTCACCCTGCCCCAGTCTCCTGACTGGAGAAAGTTACTTTTTATGAAAAATTACCGAGAGGAAAAACTTGCTGTACCCTCGTCGTGATAGGTTTTGCTTGCAATTTTATCCGTTTAAGTGTATAATCTTACCCTAGTGTTTCTTGTAACTGCCACCGCGTACCATGTCAACTAATACCATACAATTCATTTTAATACAATTCAATACATTTCAACTCGATTAGACTCAATGATAACATAATACCAAATACCCGTGTATAATATCATTCCGTAATACTCGCGTCGTCCCGTCACCAATCGCGTGATATACTGCGCATGACACTTCAAAATTTACGATTATATCGTACGTCAAACCGTCACCAATCGCACCATGTACTGTTCGTTAAAACTGTATTTATAAAATGTACGATGATATTCGTATGTCGGACCGTCACCAATCACGTATCGCGTAATATATACTGCACAATAGTTTAAAAAAATGGCCTATACTACTAAAGACGCGTACAAACGTTATAATTCGCGTCCGAAATTATTATAGATTCTGGTTATAATGTTATTTTAACTGCGTAGATCAAAACTCACAATGCATAAACGAAAAATTCGCGGAAAAGGTTGTAAACTGTATGTACAGGTTATAATTCTGTACACAATAATAACATGAGAACCATGTGAAAAACCCCAACAGAAAATGATAGTAAGAGAATTTTTAGAAAACAGTTTACACGAAATATATTTTATCTTGTAATTTTTAAAAAATGGGAAAATACCTGTTTGTTTATTTCGTTATTCCTGCCAGAACCCGTTAGTCTGCGGGGAGAAGGAAGAAGGGACAGTTTGCCCTTACCTACTTGATAACCCTGCCTAATGGCGAAGCCACGCAAACCAGCGACCAACAAACCAACTTAGAAGCCATCCAAGTAGGCCCCCTGCAACTCGCTGTCGTTTGCGTCCGACCGCGGCGAAGGGGTCCCCATGGGGTGGCGACCGTGAGGTCGGTTGTGGCAACGGTGACAACTATACCAGAGTACACTGCAGCATGCGTTGGCGCAATACCTCGAGACGCCGCACGTTTTCTGGGTATTTGTCGTCTGGGTCGCATGCTCGTAACCAGATATAATACCTCTCTATCAAATAGCTCTGCTCGTCTTGAAAAAACAAAGATACCTCTTTTTCTCACTTCAGAAAAATTAATGCCTGGTAGGCGGTGAAACATACCTACATACATACATACATTCATACATTCAGATAGGCTGTGAAACATACATACATTCATACATTCATTCAGATAGGCTGTGAAACAACCGTGTCGGCTTAATTCATTATTATAAATTTGTTCCAACATAACAACAACAAACACTTTTGGGAATAAACAGGTAGATGGTGGGTGGGCGGGTGAATGGGTTGGCGGGTAGGTGTTTTGGGCCCTAAAGGG